CTCGGAAAGCAAAATGCGCGCAAATTGTTAGCAGATTGGCGACAAATTTCTACAAAAGTTGCTAACAGATCAGCATCGGTTATTTCCATAATTTGTTTACGATTTGCTAGCAGTATCTGTTTACAGAATCTGACAGCAAATTGACAACAAAAACCGAGAAAAATCTTGAGATCAAATTATGTGCGTAGATAGTGTTTTTCTTGTCAAGTCAAAAATTAATTCTATTTTATCCGTTCCCTTTCTTTAATTATTGTAATTAAAATTTTTACAATATTTATATCTATAATGAAAGTGTTGGACATATTTTTTAAATTATTTATTACAAAAAAATGTATTATAAAACACGAAAAAAATTTCGTATATTATTCAATCAGTATTGCAAAGCTTTTCCATTACTAAATCGTCAAATCAACAAGTAGTTTCAATCTTTTATTATTAGATAACAGTATTATAAAATATAGATTTACCAATACTGCAAATATATCGAAATAATAAGATAAATAAGTTTACTCCTTCGAAAATATAATAAAAATAATATAATTAAATAATTTTTATTTTATTTTTATTTATTGATCATTTATCTACTTGAATATTTTGAAAAACTACAAAAAAAAGAGATTGTATTATTGTCTTAGATAAAAATTGATTGTACTATATACGCATTATTTTACACAAGATTTGAGTGAAGAAAATAATTTATCAACAGTTTTATAATTTGAAAATCATCATAAATATCATTATCGATTATGAGAAAATAAAAAATTTGTATTTAATATATATATACGCATACACATACAAATTTAATGTATTAAAAAAAAAAATTACCGAGAAAACAGAACCGGATCTAGATATTTTTGCACTCAAAGAAATTAGTATTAGTAATCGACGCCTTTCTTTTCTACATGCGCATGCACACACACACATCAAAATAACATACGCGCTTGCTACTTAAATTGCTACTTAAGTTGATGCTAATATCATTTTTGCATTTTTCTAAAAAAAATGTTTTGTCTAAAAAGTTGTTCGATTTATTGTTTATTTTTATGCCGTCTCATGTCTTTCACTCGAGGCAAGTGCCTCGCTCGCCACACCCTAGATTTGGCTCTGCAAATGATATAAACAGCAAACCGATATATCGAAGTATGATAGCTTAACTTTGTCGAAAAACAAGCTGTAAAAACAGGCTGTAAAAAATAGAAAACAATGTATCAGGGAAAGCATGCATTAAAGGATTATCAATGCAAATTGACCCTGATAAAAAAATCGAAAAGAACAATAGATAACGAATGCATCATTTTTTTATCGTAGTTCTATAACTATAATTATATACAATTGATTCCGGTAAATTTTCAATCATTTTTTCTCAGTAAAATTCCACAAAACGAGTATAATAGCTTAACTTTGTTGAAAAACAGGCTGCACAAAAATAGAAAACATTGTGTTAGTGGAAGCATGCATTAAAGGATTATCGATGCAAATGCCATTTGCATCCCTGATAAAAAAAATCGATAAAAAACAATAGAAAAACGATTGCATGATTTTTAATCGTAGTTTCATAACTACAATTATATACAATTGAATACGATAAATTTTCAATCATTTTTTCTCGGTAAATTCCAAAAAAACAATAAAAAACAATATATTACTATAAGAATTTTATCGTATTCTAACGACTGAATCCGATGGATAACAGAAAATGAAAGAAAATGATAAGAAACAATAACATTTCTTTCAAAATATAAAAAGTGAAATAATATAGGTTACGATAGAAAACGTTCCAATTTTTTACAAATCCTATCGATTCCTATGTTTTCTATCGATTTTTTTTATCAGGGATAACTAATGTAATGTGTACAATTTCTTGATTTGTTTTTGCAACGTCTGCATTCAAGCTCAAAGAGCACATGTTGAAAAATTATTTATGAAATTAATATTTAAACAAATGAGATGTTTGTACATTTTTTCCTGTTTTATTTTGATTTTTCAGAATCACTTTCTACGAATAATCATGTGACCTTACTATGAGAGTAGTAAAATTTTTAAACTTTTGTACTCAGAATGATCTCACAGACAACAATCTATCAAAGTTTGTACACTCGTACTTCTGAATTATTCTGTATATATGTATATTCTTTCTCTAAAGAAATTAATGAAAAAACATCATAAAAGCAACATATTGCAACATTGAATGTGTATGCAATTTAAGTAGCAGACGCGTGTGCAATCATTATTGATTTCACTATAAGTATACATACAGTGTTCCACAAAGATTGAAACCTCAGAACATCTCGAAAAATATAAGTTAAAAATTTCAGATAAAAATTGTAGTTTGAAAATATTATATTTGCTGATCTCATTATTTCGACTTAACAATTTTGAATATTGAATTATTTGCATTTTTTAAACGAAATGGTTAAAAAAAGAAATTAAACATATTTATAGTGTGATATAAATATATTTAGTTATATAAATATTGTTATATAAGTTAATAGACACAAATATAAAATTCAAATTAAGAAATAATATGATTAAAATTAAATGTTAGATAATATATATACTTTTTACAACTTGTTTCTCGTATAATAGCACGTCCGTTTCTTGTTCCCGTAATCATATTTCAATTATTTACACTATCTTTTCCTGCTTTTTCAAAATATTATAAATTAATATTAACTACTAAGATTTAATAACAGACTCTGTAATATAAATATAAATCTAAATCGTAAAAAGGCGTAAAGAGCCAAATGCGGATGTTGCTATGGAAACAAATCGTGCACAAGGCACGTATTACTCTTGATGTACTAACCAAGACTTTGAAAATTGAAATAATCTCTTACTTGAGATTTCATTTCAAAGACCCCTTGACCCCCCTACCGAAATAAATAAATAAATAATCTCAAGTAAGAAATTATTTCAATTTTTAAAGTTTTGGTTAGTACACCAAGAGTAATACGTGCCTTGTGCACGATTTGTATCCATAGCAACATCCGCGTTTGGCTCTTCACGCCTTCTTACGATTTAGATTTATATTAATATTAACTAATTTTCACACACATCCAACAGGCTAATTACTGGTATGTGAGGTAAAATCAGTAAATGTAAATAAAATTAGGATAAATACTTTTTTATTTATAATTATGTATAATAATATAAAATTATATATAGAAATAGTATATAAAATTCTATATAAATTATACGTATAAATATATTCATATAATTACCCAGATATCACCATGTCTAAAATGCACGCATCCCATACAACATAAAATAATTTTAAAATATTTTTAAAATATTTCTTAAAAGATAAAATAATTCTCGAAAATATTTTTAAAATGTTTCTATGTTTGATTTTTTATGTTTAAAAAATATTTTCAGAAATATTTTTGAATATAGATTTAAACTAATATTTCAAAAATATGTATTAAATGTTTAAGAAAATATTATCTGAGCGATAAAGAACATTTTTAAAAATATTTTTAAAAGTTTTTTAAAATATTTTTAAAAATGTTTAAATCATTTTAAAATTTCCTAAAACCATTTTAAAATGTTTTTATGCAATATTTTTTAGAAATATTTTTTAAAAGCATTCATAATATTTTGTGCTCTATGAAATATAATACATCATTAAGACATCTTTAAGAAATATTTAAGACATTTTTAAGAAATCTTATGTAATATGCTATCCTAAAGGCATATTAAAAACATCTTAAATGTCTTATGGGTGCATTTTGGACATGGTGCTCTTTATGCAATAATTTCTATATAGAATTTTCATATCTTTTTATATAATTTTATATTTTTATATATGATTATAATAAAAAAATTATTATACCGGGATTGAAAGTAATTTAACTACTTTGTATAAGTAATTACGCACTATATGCTTATGACGAATTCTCAGGAGGACGCACAACTCTTATTAGCATAAAATGCGAAGGCTGCATCTGCACAAGAAATAATGTACAACAACGTATTCTAACAGACTTCTCATTGAAACTGATCACAGAGTCTGCACTGTTTGCGCCGCGGAGCTGATAGAATGGCGATGTTCGATTCATCGAATCGCTAATCGATCATTCCTTCTACGCGCGCAATTGACGGCGAGTTGGATTTATATTCACGCAAATTTTTATTCTTGATTGTACACATTATTTTAAGCAAAAAATTTTATATACATTATCTTATTTACTCAGGTTTTTCGGTGGCAATAAATGTTTTCGAAGAACTGCGAAAACTGCTTAATAAAAACTGATAAAATCTGAGCATATGATAAAGCATCGCTACATATTTTTTTTAAGTTTTTATAACAATCCCTGATATTCTCTTATAATTTAACGCAAAACGCATCTTTGTTTAGTATTTTATCGTCCTACAACAAAAACGATGACAAGGTCGACTGATACATACTTTTAAAAAATATTATCACACCATAAATGCAATCGAACAAATCGAAATTTGGTGTGCTTTTAAAGAAAGAATTATAGATTTTCTGCATAATTAAAATAAAAATATGTAAATTTATCTTAGATAAGATGGAGACGATTTTGTTTTAAATGTGTATATCTAGATAAGATAAAAGATAAAATTATATAACGATTTATCTACATAACTTTCCCTACTAACAATAAAATAATATTACATAAGCTTTCTTAAAAATAATTTTATCTACATAATATTATTTTTAAGAAAGCTTATGTATAAAAACAGTTAAGAATGTAAATTATAAAAGGAATATAAAATATGTTTTATATATAATCATATTTTTATTTGTGTTTATCACTTATTGCTAAAGTTCTATACTTAAGTATTTTTATGTGCTATGACTTTAAATCAAGTTATCCAAATATTATTCTAGATAATTTAGTAAAAATGACTTTTTTTCATCTAAAATGCAGATATAGATAGTACATATTTTTATTATCTATATAAAGACAAAATGATGCCAAAATTTCATCTAGATGATCATCTATATAATTTCATTTAAATAACAGCCAACACTGTCAATGTATTGTTACATTGTTTTAATATTTCCCTTTCAGGCCTTTAAAAACTCTTTCGTACACAAGTGAAGGCGCATCCTCGGCCCATATAAAGCCCACGTGATTAAAACTGGGCCGCGGCACTTCGTACAAATCTATTACGTTAGGTAGTAAATTGTACAACCTCTTCACATCCTTGAAGAAATATTATTATAAGTTATTATGCGAATTTCTTTTTCTTCTATAATTATAATATTCTTGTAAAAACTACTTATATAATTCTTTTAAACTAATTAATAATTCTAACTTCTCAATTTTATTCTAACTTATTATTATAAAACAATCTCTACTCTATCTTCTAATAATTCTCCTTTTATCAATGTATATTTTTTACAACGGGATTACCTATATTACTTACAATGGGATCGACCAGCAAGTCGTTGTTGGCATAGAATATCGCGATCGGCACTGTAACACTCGATAGATCATAATCCGGAGGTTCTATCGAATTATAGATTAAGAGGTTTTTCGTGGCACCGTAGTCGTATCGACGAAATTTGCCCGATTGGATTCCCTGAGTTAAGTGCGCCACTGTCTTAGTCGAAAGGCTGACGGGTATGTGACCTATGATAACAGGCAGCTGAGCCTAAATTGAAAGTAAAAGAGTATAATATAAACACACACAGGCACACAGAACATATGTGTACAAGGCCCGATCTGAAGCGCAATCGTATACTATTCTGAAATAGTAGAACGTAAAGATCGTAATTATCTGCTAACTTGGTAACTAAATCTAACTTAATTTGATCGCGACATTTGCAAAAGATAAGACATGGACTAATAAAAGCCAAGCGCAGATATTACGTACAACAAACTTATTTTGTATTACACGTGCAGGCAAAGTGGCACTTTGTGTGCGTGTTTTCTGTGCGGAAAGCGGCCGATTTCCCACGCCGCTATCTAGCGGCGACGCGGTGAGTGAATAAGTTGCGTTCAAAGCCATTGCCTACGGCTTCAGCCGTGGACAATGACTTTGAACACGGCTATTCCTGCACCGTGCCGCCGCAAGATGGCGGCGTGCGATCGGCCACCTCGCGCACAAAGCCACTTTGCCTGCACTCGTAGTACAAAATAGTATGTGTATCACATGCGGATTGACAATTGTTCACTCGTGTGGGGTGGTTGCACTCGTCTTCGGCTTGTGCGTCCATCCCCCGCACTCGTGATCATTTGTCAATTTTCCGCACTTGATACACAATAGACTATTTAAATTCTTTAATTATTCGATACAAAAAATATATGCTCTAATTATTATTTTATAGCTTTTTTAAATTTTTTCCTAATTATATATTTTATACAAAATAATTGAATAATTTTCAAATCATTCTCTAATTTCTCTAAATATATGTGTATAATTTTATAATATCACAAAATAATTAAATAACTATAAAACTTTTTGTCCGTATCTTATACAAAATAATGAAAGATGAATTGAGAAACAAATAAAAAAATTTTTTTTTATAAAATAATTAGAAAAGATTTAAAAAAAGTCGCGCTTAAAATATATAATGGTCTAGTTTTTATATGTAAATATATATATATATATATATATATATATATATATAAGTTAACCTTTTCTACATACTTTTAAAAAAATAGGGAACGTTTTTAATATCTTAAAAATTAAGCTATTTTTAAGATTTTTGTATGTAATTCGACAAAAAATCATTGTATGCAAAAAAATTAAAAGAGTATTTTGAAACTTGAAGTATCTATTTTAACGAGCTATCGATAATTAAATTTTTTTTTATTTTAGTAAATGCAGATTCAATTTCAAAATCATATAACTGGACAAAAAAATCGTAACAAAATTTTAAAAAATCATTTTGTCATGACAAAATGTTGTAATTTATAGAACTTGAGAAGAATTTTTTTTATTGAGCTGCAGAATGTCAATAATATGTAATTTTAAGGAACAAAATAATGTATTCATTTTTAGACCACACGCAGACACGGAAAATCTGAGCATTTACTCAGAATTATTACTCACGTAATTAAAGTGCTCTGGATCGTAACCGAAAACCGAAAATATGAAAATGTGAGCGCATATCTCCGATAGAAGGAAATTCGGGTCGCAACCGATTAATGCCATTGCTGTTTTAAAAACTTTTCGTGGTAATACTTCGTCATGGAACAAAACTCGTAATATTGACTGCAATCAAAAATATTTTGAAATTATAATGCAATTTACTCGTAATTCTAATCTCGTTCAAATTTTTTAATGATATTTTGTGAGAATAAAAAATGAAATTTTTTTCATTATTTTGTAGTATATTTATAGAAGTGTTAATTTATAAAAGAGCATTAAATCCTTTTACAAACTAATATACATCCTCAATAAATGTTAACAATAACTTATATTTTCAATCAAATTATGTAATTCTTATTTTAAATTTACATAATATTAAGAATACAAAAAAATAAATTGATAATTACAAATCAATTTTTATATTACTTACACAAATTACACATTACTTACAAATTAATTTTAAAAAAAGTAAACCTTTTTTAGTATATTATATTATATAATTATCTAGTATATGATATTCTTACCTGCAACTTTGTCGCTATATAAAACATCGGCCGCAGTGGGCTTTTCATATGATCTAAGAAAACTCCTGGTCCGAAACTGATCATCATTTTCACCATTTCAGCAAATTTTGGACGCTCTATTGCCATTACGTAAAAAACAGATTCACCCATAGAATGACCAATGTATGCGTGTAATGGCTGTGATCTCATATTCGTAATAAATGTAATCATCGCGGGTAAATCGTAGACGCCTATTTCATGAAAGCTAATGGAAAATTTAATATTACCGACTAAACTAAGATTGTTAAAACTAAATCATTTACAAAGCATCATTATTATTATTGTACGAAAATACCTGTAATCCCAAAATTTCCATTCTGACGGTGATAGGGAAATATGCGCTCTCGAATAGACACTACCACGGAAATTTCCCAACCAAACATCGTATCCTTGATCCGCCAATAGATAAGCTAGAATTTAAAAAAGAATAACATTATTTGTAATATTTTACTTGTATTTTCTCATATAATATTCATATATTTTATCATATTTTTGCGTGCAAATATTTTTATAGCAGATTAATACCGCAATTTGATTTATAATTCATTTATTACTCATAATCAGATAAGTTAAATAAATTTTTCTAAATATATCATAATTATATAAAATATATATACATATGTATATACATATATATACAATATATATGTATATATTTATATATCATACAGTATAATAAATTTTAGAAATTCAAATTTTAAATTTAAAAAATTTTGTAAAAATAAAATGCACTACAACGTCTATTATAATTGTTTATTACAATTAAGAGAGCATTAATGCTTTTTTGATATTTAAATTATAGTTTTTTTTTTAGATGTTTTTCCAACAAACGTGAGATCAACGATGCGGTTCGATCAACGATACTGAAATATCTTTTAATTGATTAAAAAGTCGTACCGAGTGCTTTGTCTTTGCCAAGAGTGACCCAAACAACGGAAGTGCAAAAAATTCCGTTTAGCAATAATACAGGTAGAGAGCCGTTGCCACCCGGAATACGATGTAACGTCAAAAGATAGCCGTCTTCTGTCGTTACAACGTGAGTTTCCGTGGGATAACCCGCTCTTTTTATTATCTGCGGCTAAATGAATAATTAAAATCAATAAAATAAGTATAATTTTTATTTTTATAACAATATGTTTCTACATAATAATAATATAAATATAAAATCTTACATATACAATATGTAATTAATATGAAGTATAATTATATAATAATAACAGTAATATTTATGAAATCCAAAATAAAATCAATAAATAGTGATGATACCCAATTAAACGTGTAATTATAAATTTTATTTCAAAAATCATAGAACAAAGTATTTTTGCATGATAAAATACACAACTCAATTAATATTATTTTAAAAAGAAATTGTAGGATTATATTTTTGTCCACATTTTTACATACATTATAGTAATTAAAATAATTTTAATGATTCTTTCATAACTATAAGATACATATTTAATTATACATATATTTATTTTTACTCACATTAACTACAATATATGTTATTACAAAAGGAACAATATAGTAGTAGATGTATTTTAAAACAAAAAACAATAATTTAATATCAAGGGTGAATACTAAAAATTAAATATTAAAATGTTCTTTAAAAAAACAAAATATTATAATACACGTAATTATAACAATAATGTATAATTTTGTGTTTGATTTTGATTTTGAATAAATGAAAATTTTCAATCGCGATATAAGATCGCGTTCTTTAATTATTTTTTGAAGAAATTCAGCTAATTTTAATTGACGTAATCATTAATTGACGTAATAAAAACTTTAATTCTCATTTCAATTTTTAAGTTAAAAATAACGTATACTTACAGTACTGAGGATTATATCGGGATTGAATTCGGTTTTATTCCAGTTAGACCGAATTATTCTTTTCACAGGCTCGCTTAATTCGGGGATCACATCCTCATTAAGACAACCGCAAAATGGCAGCAAACACATGATCCAGATCAATCTCATCGCACCCATAAGTAAATTCAATAAACAGTGAAAACAGAAAAACTGACAACTCGAAAGAGTTTTCTGAGTTATATTATTAAAAAGGGGCAGAAAATCACGAGAGCGAAATGAAGAAGAATTACGCGCATCAGCTTCTTATCTGTTATTTATTAATGCTGCATCGATGATTTGTTGTTGTAATAATTATTTTTATTTTTATAATTATTTTATAATTTTTTAAAATTTTATTATTTCATAATTTTATAATTTTATGATTTTTTTATTAGGTCAAAGGATTGTGTCGGTTGATCTTTTACAACTGACTGATATTGAAACAAAATCGAACAATTTTGCGCAGTCAACAAGATCTTATGCGTTTATAATGCAATTGATTATAACTTGTATGTCATTTTAACGAATCTTGCGATATGAAGGTTCCATTAACCAATTTAATCTCCGTATTTATTTTTAATAACTAAAAAAATAATATAAATATGCTATTTTTTATCCACTTATTTATGCTAACAGATTTTAATTATTTGCGAATTTTAAAACATTTTGCATTTTATAAATAAATATGCATATCCAATCTTGTTTCTTTTCTCTATGAAAGTTAAAAGATGTATTATCTCATTCCCAAAAATCATATCAATATTATTACAATATATTAGAACCTCAAAATTTTTACGAATTAAAGAATTTAAACATATATTTATAATATTATATAAATATTATATATAAATTGACACACACACAAATATAAGATCCATATTTAGAAATAATATGATCAAAATTAAATGTTAGAATAATTTATAATTTATAATTTATATTTTATACTTTATATAATATATATAATTTATAATTTATGATTTACACTCTTTATATATTACAATTTACAGATACTCACCCCATAGTTTTTAAATTGATCATATCGGTTGTATTTTTCTTTTCCTCTACTAATTAAAACATTTTAACATTTTATTTTAGAATATTCCATATATTTTTTTTTTGTGGTTTTATCATTAAATCTCGCTTTTACGTTAATATTGTATTAAACTTGCCGAAAAACATATATGTAAGCGACAGCTCTGCAATAGTAATTCTTTAAATAATTTCTTTCTAAATCGATGGCTTTGGAGGCGTCGACACACTCGAAATTATTATAGATAATCAAATTTTAAAAATTCACGTGTGAAAATGCGTTTTTCTCTGTTACATAAAACAGCATAAAAATGTGTCCGCTTTTCTTATTCATGGTCAAATTATGAAATAATATTGTGTAATAATATATATTTCACAAGCCAAAGCAATGGCCACACAAGCTGCTTCCGTATTATTCAACTTTTTATTACAAATTAAATTATTGCACAAAAATTATTGTACTGTTCAAAGAGGATATCATCGATATTATTATTGTGTAATAATATTGAATCGTCTAGAACCTAGCTTCATTATTATTATTGTACAATATTATTACACAATATAATATTGCGCAATATTGATGATACTTTCTCTAGATGTGAATACTCTCAAAATGTGCAATAATTTAATTTGTAATATAATGTTAATTAATCAAAAAAAGCTTGTGTGATCATTGCTTTTACTTGTAAAATACCAGATTTTACACTTAAAATTTTTAAACTTTTACAATCCACGATGCAGGTTGTGACTTCTGTTCATACAGGATAAACGTTCTTTTCTTTTATAAGCAGGTGTTTTGTTATTAACACTGACTGACGGTGATTTCACTCTCAATGCTGAAACTGAACTGCGACAATATTTGCATGATAAAACCTACAGATATTTTGTAGGTTGCACAATATCAATAAACTTTTGTTTGACACAATATGTTGCATAATTTTCAATACAATTTACAAACAATTAATAATATTATGCAATGTCTATATGTATAAGATCCGATTTGAAGCGTAATCACACAATCTTGAAATAGCGAATCATAAGGATCGAGTCTTTATTCTCAATAAGAGTTAATAAAAGTCAGATGCAAATATTATGTGCGCGATAAATTTATTAAAAAATTTCTCTAATTAATTTATATATAAAATAGATACTTTAATTATTTAATATTTTTAAATTATTTCTTATAAAATAATTACAGAAATACAAAATAATTTGACTCATAATATTTTGTATTTATTTTAAAATTCTTCTGAAATTATTTTGTATAAAATAATTACAGAAGAATTTTAAAATAAATACAAAATGGATAAAATAATTACAAAAGAATTTTAAAATAAATACAAAATATTATGAGTAGAATTACTTTGTATAAAATAATTAGACAAAAATTTTAAATCAAGTTTCTCGCGCTAGATTTTTATATTTGCCTTTTTCGTATCTGATTTTTATATTTGTATATCAAAGCTTTTTCAATTTTTGATTATAATTTTATCATACACAAGAAAAATTATGACTCACATAATTAAACTGCTCGGGATCGTAATCGAAGACCGAAAATACATTATCGGCGCATATCATCTCGTCCAAAAAATTCAGGTCGCAGTCTAATTTCGCCATCATTCTCTTAAACACGTTTTGCGGTAATATTTCGTCATAAAAGCTAACTCGAAATATCGACTGCAATTAAAGTTTTTTTTATTTGTAACTTTCTTTCTTCAATTTTTTTAGTAGAACTTTTTAAAATAAGAAAAAATAAGTTTTTTTTTTTATTATGCGTATTGTGATAATTTATATATAGAAGCAATAATTTATAAAAAAAAACATTAAATTCTTTTAAAAAATCAACAAATTTTTAATCAATTTTATCTTATATTTTCAACCAGATGAAATTCTTATAAATTTTTGGGTGTTTAAAATCATTTTAAATCATAAATTAGCACATTACGTCAGCATTTCAAAATAGCACACGAGATTAAAAATATATAAAATAAATTTTATTTTATTATGACTAAATTTTAAAAAGACTAATTAAATAGTTTTGTATTTAAACATACAAAATGTAACAATTTGAGGAAAAAAAGAATTTTTCTTAAAATTTTTAAACAGCCCAATTTTTAAAAAAATATATTTTCTAATTAAAATTTAAAATAATTAAATTTTATTATTATTATATGCTTTATATCAGTAGCTTTATATCGATATTGAAATCGCTTTGTTATATTTCAATACAACAAATATTTGAAAAATATAAATTTTTAGCGTTTTTTACATATATACAACTTAACTTCGTGTTTTGTATCTATGTAATAGAAAACAAGATTAAAATAAGATTTAACTGGAATTATTTTTGTAGTTTTGTGTATTTTTTATCTGTTTGACTACCTGTAGTTTTTTAGTCAATTATAACTTAAAAATGATTAATGTGTTTCAATCTTTATGTTAGAAAAATATTTATCTACTTCAAACAAACAATTAATTTGCAGTATTAAATTAATTTTGGAAAGTATATATATTATTGTTAGCACGCAATAAGCATTAGCACTAACCTTTTAACCTCGTCGCTGACTGGATTCGCGGTCCTCAGATTTATGCCAGGTGGATGGATCTCGTTCAATTTATTATAATTTAGTCAGGATGTATGTGAGGATATATATATGTATATTATGTTCCAGTAAAATGTATTTATTTGCGATCCGATGTGTATATATATATATATATACTGTAGAGTCGATACAGACGCCGGAGCCGCTGGTAACGCCGCCAGAATAAGTACTTTCTCAGATTGTCAGACTGTGTCAAACTGTGTCGCGCGCTCAAATATCCTCACCTTTATACTCGCTTGTCTAAAATATTCCCACCCCAAAGTACCGGACCAATCGGAGTAATTTTACACAAAATCGTTCGGTGCTCGCGAAAACAATAATTCTTACGAACAAGAGAGATTAGGTTGACGGTCGCACAAATAAATAAAAATATAACGCATAATAAAACTAAACCGTCTAAGGACAAGTAAACGAAAATATAAATAAAATAGATTAACATCTCTCTCGCTTTCCTTTCCCTTATACATACGGCAATAAAGTTAAAATATATAAAAATGCTTACATTATATATACCTGATTATCTATTATCAAATTGAGGAACGGTAGCATTGCACTTTTTACGTGATTTAAGAAGGCACCTGATGCGAGACTGATCATCATTTGCACTTTTTCAGCAATTTCCGGACGCTCTATATTGTCATTACGTATTTCATTTGTTCAATATTTAATTTTCGATTTATTAAATATCAAATATCAATGTTTTGTAAAATAAGAGTGTAATATGCACAAAATATAATTGTGTTTAAGCCACAATTATATTTCCACATAGTAAAACGCCTGTAACATGCTACACCGTCAGACAAGACTGCGCGCGAAAGCACTCGCGGAAACATTCTCGTCCGTAAAGTCGTGCACTCGTTCGTGCCTTCGCCGCTACGCGGCGTCTTTTCTCGCAGTTAGAATTCCGCTGAGTGAGGATATAAGGCCACGCGCTGTGAGTTGGAAACTTATTTATATATATATATCTATATGTACATACGTAAAGTGAGTGTCACTAAGTTATTATTGGACTTTTTTTTTAATAGGAGATCTTATTGCAATAGTATATTGTGTATCAAGTGCGGAAAGTTGATAATTGGTCACGAGTGCGGGGGATGGACGCACGAGCCGAAGGCGAGTGCGACCACCCCACACGAGTGAACAATTGTCAATCCGCACTTGATACACATACTATTTTGTATTGCAAGTGCAGGCAAAGTGGCTGTTTCGGCGCGTTTTTTGTGCGCGAGGCGGCCGATCGCACGCCGCCATCTTGCCGCGGCACGGTGGGGGAATAGCCGGTTTCAATACATTTCCTACGGCTTGAGCCGTATACAATGACTTTTAACGCGGCTCAACCGTAGATAATGGCTTTGAAACCGACTTATTCACTCACCGTGTCGCCGCTAGATGGCGGCGGGGGAAATCGGCCGCTTTCGGCACAGAAAACATGCACCGAAAGTGCCACATTGCCTGCACGTGTAATACAAGATTTATTTGGAGTATTACTCAACAAATATTTCGGAGTACGTGTGTGACTTTTCAAAAGTTAGAAATTGTAAAACTCTTTTAAACTTTAAATTCGCATTTTTCAAAAGAAAGATATCTATTTAAAATTTGTCCTATCTTTTGGACAATTTCTTCGATTATTTTAAGATAACATTCTATAAGAAAATTATACTGAATTCTGATCATGACTTTTATGTGGTAACTTTTAGGTATACCTACTGTCGTCTGTACTCGATGTATTACATTTTGTCAGAAGTGTCAAGTTATTTTGTTAATATTGATAAAATTTTATTAATATGACTAGCATCTTGTGTGAGATATACGAAAATATCTCAAGTGAGAAAAACTATTCTAAAATATAATTTAGGGTTATATAAAAGTTTTTATTAAAAAATATAATTATAAAAAGGAAAATAATATGTTATATGAGCAAAGAGGTAATGTTATAAATATTAATTTGTTGTATAATCCTTTTAAAGTTGATTTACGATAGTGACAGCAAAAAGAGTTAGAAAGAAAAACGTTTGTTGATATATAAAATGTATATTTAAAATTTCCCCTTTCTCTTACGTAAATTTCTAATTGACCAATGTTTATTTATTGCTCGCACATTCTATCAAAGATTATTTTATTTCGCCGTAATTCAATAATACTTCAACCTGGGGGTTCTCTATTTTATTTAACTTTTTTTTCATTCATCCAACTCACTCATAGTATATTTATTATAACAATAATGTTTAGACATGCATAAATCGTCGATGTCGTATTTATCCGCTTTTTACAATATATAATAACTATCTATATTTAGACATTTCCCTATTGTTTTGAAATATTAATTTAAAATTTCAAATAAAATTTACCTAAATAGAACATTTATATACTAAATTTCGGACGTTAACCTTTTATCATTAATTATAACATACAATATTTTAATTTAAAAAATAATCTACATTTATATCCTATTTGGGTATTCACCTTTCATTGATTAACTATTAGAGATTATCTATTATACATTATAGGATTTTACAATTGGCCTAATACTGGCCCAAAATTGATTAACAGGTTACTTATATTGGCAAGATAATAGCAATCATAACTGGCCTATCAATGAAAATATTATGGAATGACAACTTCGGCCTGATAAAGGATAATTATATGCGGCCAAACATGGTGAACAATGTTGAGCCATTAATGGTTTTTATTATTTTTTTAAATATTTAATAATTATTTGTATAATTATATTGTAATTACACTAAAAATAACTTGTAGGAAAAAATTATTATTTCTGCATAAAGTACCTATATATTTATTAAAATTTTTTGTATACAATTTTTTATATTTATGTTAAACGTACTTTTAAAGAAATACATATTAATTATATTAATAATTATATATTAATTATAATATATAAGTTCTGTTTATTCAGATTATTTTTTTTTTTTGCTTTTTGTCTATATTATCACATATTTTAAAAATGTGTGAAAACTGAAAAATGAATATTAATATCTAGTAAGTCTTGTTAATGTGTTTGTAATACATTTAAATTTTAATTTTTATATTACATACAATCAAATTTTGCGTACATTACAATCTGACTTTTCCCATCAACTTAGGCAGTGCATTAAATTTCTTCTCAATAAAAAATAATATAGATACGCTATCTTTTAATTACTTATTGATATTAATAACTTTGACTTAATTGCATTTTTTAAATACAAATTTACATTTGAAAAGAATAATCTATATATATATATATATATATATATATATATACATATACAAAATCATATATAACTTATTTCTATAAAATTTATAAATTACATTCAAAAATTATGGATCAATGTTACAATAGTATTACAATATACAGTGAAAGTGTCATTATCGATAAAAAATAATGTCATATTTATAATTCTATATAAACATTATAAATTCGTAAATAAGATATATTGATTGAAAAATAATATTAATAAAATTAAATATGTTTGACAAATAATTTACTTAAAAAATAGCTGTGTATTTGTCATATTGCAACCAAACTTTCGATCCAGTGCAAGAATAAATTATTCGTTGAAACGATTGTTTAAAAATACATGTATTTTAATTCGCGTCGTTATACTGAAAAAAATTTATTAACTTGACTAATTGTAATCCGTTTAATTAAATTTTTATTTTATTAAGTAAACATATATTAATATTTAAGTCAATACACATTTTATTAGATTAATATTATATTTAATTTAAATATTTATGTATGTTAAATTAACAAAATAATATTTAGTCGAACGATTTAGTCAAATTAACAATTTTTTTCAGTGTACTAATTATAAATAATAATAAAATATAAATTTACGTTTACTAAATTAATAATTTCATTAAATTAACGATTATAGCTGCCATCAATCGTAGTTCTTATTAAAGTAACTTAAACTTTACAAGTGATATTTATCTATTATTTTCATTATATCGATATACAACACATATTATTTCACAGAGATAACATTTGGATTCTCTCCTTCTGAAGAGCTTGATAATTCGTTCGTATACGAGTTTTGGTGCATCCTTGGCAAATATGTAGTCCACGTGATTAAAATTAGGCAATGGTATTTCATACATGTCTATTACGTTGGGTAGTAAATGGGATAACTTCTTCACATTCTTGAAAAAGATAGAAAAAAGATAATAATAATTTATTCCTTAAGTAATTTGTTTAATTTATACGAGACTTTTAATATTTAATTTTTAGAAAAATGAGTTTCGTTAAAAAAACAAAATTAATTTTTAAATGCACTGTAAAAAAATATGTAAAATTACATAATAATTAATACATAATAAATAATCAAGGATAAAATTACACAATAAATAATGAAAATGTGTACAGCATATTACATATTTTTCTACAGTGTGACCTTGTAAAACATCATTCTAGATTACGATTTATTATGTCTTTTAAAATAATTGAACTTATATAGAAATTTTTCGAAAATCGAGTATAATCGCTTCAAATAAAACATCCTGTATATAATTTTATTTAAATATCTATTTTCTTTGTTACTTACATCGGGATTGATCAACAAGTCATTTTTGGAGTAGAACAAAGCGGTTGGTACCGTAATTTTTGTTACATCGTAGTCCGGAGGTTCCGACGAATTGTACAACAACAGATTTTTCTCGCGACCGTAATCATATTGGCGAAACTTTCCCGATTCCGATTCCTGAGCAAAGTGAGTCAACGACTTAATCGATGCACCGACGAGATCATGGGCCATGGTGACAGGTAACAACTGAGTCTAAGTAGGAAATAACAAGACATATTAGTGGAAGCAAAGTCCGATCCGAAACGTAATAAACAGTATATATCTGTTATCTAAATAAAATTATATAGGTAATCATCTAGATGAAGTTTTGGTGTCATCTTATCTTTATATAGATATAATAAAAATATGTATTAATATCTGCATCATAGATGAAAAGAAATATTATTTTTATTATATATAATATATAATGTTCAGATAAAATTTGGTTTAGAGTCACATAAAAATACTAAATGTAGAACTAGTTAAGCAGTAAACTGTAAAAACTTACAAATAAAAATATGAATATATTTTTATATATCCCTTTTATAAATTTATATTCAAAAATTTTGTAAATAACTTTTATAAAGTATATTTATAAATTTTATATTTATAAATTTACATTTTTTAAAAAACCGCGTTTACATAAGCGGTCTTAAAAATAATATTATCTAGGAATTATCTAGATAAACCGTCAAGAGTAATTTTATCTAGTTATATTTAAAAGAAAATCATTTTTATCTTGTCTAAGATGAATTTACATATTTTTATCTCATCTTAATCTAGTTAATTTTAAAATTATCTAAGCACAACACTGCACTAATAATAAATATAATTGCAATCGATACTTTGATTATGACGAAATTGTATTTCAATTTGTGGAATTATATACTACTCACGTAATCTAATTGTTCGAAGTCGTAACCGGTAATTATATATAATACGCTGACACAAAACTCCTGCATAGTAGGATTCTGGTTGCAGAGAATCGCGAGAAATTTAAACCAATCTCTATTCAGAAATTCGCCGTGAAAGAAATCATCCATCATCACCTGTAATTGAAGATTTGTCGTATTATATCGTAAAATAATTGACTTATAATTCTTTAATTTAAGTTTTAGCGATAATTCTGAGAAAATAAATTAATGTATTTTCAAGCATTTTTTAATCATTTAATAAATTGGTATAATTTTATGGAAGCTTTGATCTTTATTGCAACTCGTCGGAAAACATCTCTAAAATTATAATGAAAGATTCAATTATATGGTAAAAATATATATAGATGTAAAACAAGAAAAAAATATTAATTTTTTAATCTTCAGAATTAATTCTCTCGAAATTTATTCAAAAAAAGACATTGTTCTTCTCACTTTTTATATTTGTATTTTATTTATATGAAATAAATCTTTTCTTATTTAATTTGGTCACAAAATGTTTCATTCTGTATACATAAAATAAGGATTAGAAAGTAATGCGTTATTTGTAACGCCATTATTTAAAATTACATTTTCGCAATAAAGCTTTTAAATGATAATTTTTATCATTCAAACGTTAACATTTAAAATATTGCAATTAAAATTTAATTATAATAAATTCTATGCAAAATTAGCTAAAAGATGTAACTTTTTCTATTTAAACCACTTTTATATATAAGTTCGAGATTAATTTATATATGGAACTTAGTAATCTCAAACCAAGAGATACAGTTCCGAAGAATTAATTTTTCGCACTTGGGCTCTATATATTGGCCGATTTAAAATATCATTTATTATTCTTAATATTGAGAGCCAATAAAAATATTTCTCATTAAACCACTTTTGTTCCAAATTTCAAGAATTATTGATTTGTTCAGTCATTCTCGCTACAGAAATTTTTATTTTAAAATTCATTGTTTAATAATAATATTTACAAAATGACGTGTTGATACTATATAGTATAAATATAAGACATACATATAGTTTTTATTTTAACGAAAAGATATTATTTCAAACTGTTATTTCGCACCAATAAATTATTTTCTAATAATATTTGCATACAAGAACATATATTAATTTACCTTAAGCTCCCCATATAAGGGAACGATATATCGTAGCGCACTTTTCATATGGTCTAGAAAGGCTGTTGGTGCGAGACTGACCATCATTTCCACCATTCGACCGCTTTCTGGACGTTGTGATGCCATTACATAAAAAATGCATGTACCCATAGAATGACCAACGTACGCGTGCAATGGCTGCGATCTCACATTCGTGATATATGAAATCATCGCGGGTAAATCGTAGATGCCTACTTCGTGAAAACTGATGGAAAATTCAATCGGTATAATGTCATAAAATGTAATATAGTTGTATACATATAATATAAATATACACACAATATGTATATAATTCATGTGTTCAAAAATATGTGTATATATAAAATAATAAGATGTTCTATAGTGCCTTTCTTATAAGAAAATAAAGCATCCTCTTTCTTTAAAAAATTCCTGAAAATGTCATTTTTCCGAGATCTGTTTTTTATATATATATTATACGCATTTGATGTTTCTTGATTTTTCATTTAAATGACTTTGTGTAAAAATTGTAATAATTCTGATAAACAATTAAATGAATATTATATTTAATTATAATAAATTAATAAAATTTTCCACAAAGAATTAAGAAATAACAAATGTTTTATTTATTAATATATTTAAAAATCTTGAAACTAATGCATTTCCGAATATTTGGTTAAAAAATGAATATTTTATTATTAAGAATTACAATAATATTTATATGTATTCTCTACCCGTATAAAATGCTGTATACTTATATTATATGTAAAGAGTATATCTTAAGATATAAGCACAATTTAAAAGAATGCTGCACATAGATATATAAATATATATGTAAAATAAATCCATCCAGTTCTTGCGTTTCAACGTCAAATTAAACCAGAAAATTTAATAATTATGATTATATCATTTTTAAAGTTATTATTTTAATTTTATGCATGTACCTGAAATCCCAAAATTCCGAGTTTGACGGAGATAGAGTAGTATGCGCCCTCGAATAGATGTTGCCACGAAAATTGCCTAGCCAAACATCATATCCCTGATCCGCTAATAGGTAAGCTACAATGCAAAAAAAAAATATTCTTTGTAATATTTTTCACGTAACTTGTATTTTTTCATATAACATTACATAATTTTATAATATAATATTAAATTCGAGATTTTTTTTCTACAATCGAAACAAAATAATCTCGGGATATATCAGGATTAATAAAAGATAATAAAAGATAAGATTATATTCGTACCGAGTGCTTTGCCTTTACCAAGGTAGACCCAGTTGGCAGAGGAAGCTAAATAACCATGTTGTAGTAATACAGGTAAAGAGTTGTTACCACCTGGTATACGATGTAACGCTAAGAGATAGCCGTCCTCTGTCGTTACAATGTGAGCTTCCGCAGAATAACCTGCTTTTCTGATCATCTCCGGCTAGAAAAAATTAATTTAAAAAATAGAACAAAATTGATCTAAAATTGAAATAAATTTTTGTGACAAAATAGTGTTTTTGTCGCATAAAGTTTTATTTTCGAAGTGAATAACGTTTCTACATTAAATATAAAATATCAATATTTAATAAATAGGTAATATTAATAAATTTAATTAGGTAATTGTAATTTGCAGAAAAAAATTCTTTTAAAAACATTTTAAAGGAAATTATTTTTATGTTTATTTCTTAAACCGCTGCAATTGAAATAATTTTAATGAGTGTTTTATTATTATATTATTAAATGGCTGTATTTATTTATACTGTTGAATATATATTTAATTATTATATTTCTATTGTAATTTATTATAAATAATTAAATATATATATATAATTTTTTTTTTTAATCAAATTACAATAAATTAATCTGATAGGTAGTATAACATACATATATATATTTATATACACATTTATTGTATATTTTAAAACAAAAACAAAATGTTTACCCAACTAAAGAGTGCTTACAATATAATATATATTAACAATAGCATTCTAATTACTTTAAAAAAAAAAAAAAATAGGAGCACTACTATAAAAGTAGTTAACGTCAATTATTATTGTATGTAAAAAAATATTTTAAGTTTTTAATAAAACAGCAACAAATAAAGTAAGATCATTTTCCAACAGCATTGAAAACATTTAACTAATCCAAATATTGAAAATTTTAATCCTTGTTTTTATATGAAAACACTTACCGTGGTGAGAACGACATCGGGATTGAATTTTTGATCGATATCGTTCGGTTGCTCCAAGTTAATTTCCTTGAATAATTCATTTGACTCGGGGATCACATTCGCCGGCGCCGCATCAAGACAATTCCAAAATGACAATATTAACGCGATTCCGATCACTCTCATTGTATCAATTAACGACACGAAAACTTTCCAAAATCTCGAAATATATATTGTTGAACGACGCGTGAGAGCAAGATATGCATACGACTGCGTGCAATTTTGTTCTAGACTGGGCGCATATGAGCACTGTCGATTTTACATCGACTAAACTGTTTACTTGCGTATCAACAATTTTTGATTGATTAAATAGTTTTGAAGACATGGAGACAAACAGTCGATCAACAGGGTTACAAGATGCACAAAAAGTCTTCCGCTTATTCATTAATTTATAAAAAATCTTTATAAAAAAATAAAAACATATGCGATGTTATGCTAAAAAGCATTATTTTGTCAAAAAGTCATTGAGCTGACCTTTTAGGCAAGTCGATGAGTACGCGTGTTCTCATAATACAGCCTTGGCTAAAAGTATTATAGAAACTTTTATTTTTATGAGATATCTTTTGAATATTTATTAGATATAATTCTATTGCTAATTTGTATTATATTGAAATGTATTTTTAACAATAGATATCTAAGTTAAGGGGATGCTGTTGTAGTTCTGTTTTACCGACTTTAAATTAAGTTAGGTTCACTTTTTATTAAATATACAGATTGAAAAATCTTCCACAATGAAAGTACTGATAATAATGAATGGGGAGTGCTCTCTTGCAACTAATTTTTGCTGTTTTATGCCTCGACATCGATTCCGCACGCAAATATGTACACATAATTAATTCAAGTACGAATCTTTTGATACAGACTATTAATCTCATTTTTATAATTTCTGTGTTATTCTTTCATATCATCTCTATTGGGAGCGCCATATTTTGTGCACAAATAAACTGCAGAACTTTTGTATTAAATAAGTATTGTTGTGAGCTGATGCAAAAGGCCGATAAAAAATTGTAACTTTTTAACTTTTGTTTTTTATACGAAATTACAACGCTCTCCGTTCATTATTATCAGTACTTTTTTGTGGAGCATTTTTTAATCTAACCAATAAAGAGAAAAGATCTTAAACTCAAAGTCGGTAAAACAGACATGGTCAGCATTTTCTTAATGGTTCAAAAAACAACTGGTTTACTTCAATTGCTATATCTACATTTTTGGAGTTATAGTTCTACTCTGTTGTCAGATTTCGCTATTGTCGCAAAACCTGCTTTCTTTAAAGCAGGTTTAGTTTTCTTGAAAAGCTCTCTAAAGAACCCTAAACTTGCTTTAAAGAAAGAATGGAACATGATAGCACCAGAACTATGTCCCTTAAATATTGGAAAGACAATAAAAAACACTTTTCTTTATAAATTTTAAGATTTATCATTTCTTCTTTACACGGAAACATAAGATAATAGAATTATTATAGGGTGCGCCTAATACTTTTGGCCAAGACTGTATATGTGTAATAAATAATAGCTTTGCACTGCTCGACTAAACTATTAATCGACAAAGTCGATAGTATGCCCCACCCATACGGTACTTATTGTTGGAATATAAATTATTATTGTGTTTAAGATTATTTTTTATCAGGTGAAAAAAAAGAGGAAGAGAACAAAAACAGGAAATCGAGTTATTAGTTGATCATAGGGCATTTCACATAATATACACGGTGTCCTGCAACGTGATGTCCATAAACTATGTAATCTTGGTGTCATTCTAAATCGAAAAAAGTTTTAATGCACCTATGCCCTAAAGTCAATTGTTTTAAAGTTAGAGCGAAAAACAAAATTGTATAAACTAAGAACAGTATTATTTATTGCAGATAACTATTATTTATCGAACGATAATATTAAGCAATAATTAACTACTTTATAAATTGTTTAAAATGACACGATAAAGGTGCTTTTCTCGCTCCAGTGCGATAAAATAAGGCATACATTGAATTGTTGAGAAATAAGCTACTTTTTCTGCACGCTAAACAGCAATCGAAAATCGAACTTTCGCGACAGGCATTACAGAAAAAATTGCTTGCGTTGACATAGTAAAAAGAAGTAAATAATAATTAAAAATTATAAATAAATAAGTAAATAATTATTTTTGCACTTTTTTTGCTATAATTTTAAAACAATCAACTTTAGGACATATGTGTATTAAGACTCTGACTTGGAATGACACCAAAAACAGTTTCAGTATATGCATTGCGGGACACACTGTATATACATATTTAGAAAATATATTGCCAGAATTACAATGAATAAAAGAAATATTTTTGCATAACAATTTTTTACATAAAAAAACTATGCATATACTAACACATAATAATCCGATAGTAATCTAAATTATTGTATGATCTCATCTGTTGTTGTACAAATTTGCTGTAAGCATTATTTTATATAGAGATTAGCTCATGTTCTTTCAGCATCTCGTTTTTTATTTCTTTTGACGCAAGTTTTAATTTAAAAATTTCTACAAAGACTGAAAAATAAATGTTAATGTCCAACAGAATTTTGTAAAAATGTAAATGTATTTGTCATGTAAGTTATTTTCATCTCTTTATGATTTTAAGAAAGTTTACTTAAATCGTAACGTAATTTTTTACATTATATCCATTAAATTCTGTGAATTTATCTTCGCAATGACTAAAAAATAATTAAATGCTATTTTCTAATTTTCCATAATGCTTACAACTTTTAATTATTTGCATTTTTTAACAAAAGTTATAAATTGAAAAATTTATTTAATATATATTATTTATAAAAATTATTTTTTATAAATATTTTTAAAAATATTTAATATATATAGTATGTTGATATAATTATGATATAAGATAGAGAGAAACAACAGAATAATTATTCAAAGCTTTTTTTAATAATTTTAATTGAGTTTTTATTTCATGTAAAGGTAAAATAAGTATATACATATATATTGTATGATTGAAATAATTTTAATAACTATTTCATAATTGAATATACATATAATTATTTATTTTCAATCTCTTTATATATAGGCTACAATAAATTGTCATTTATAAATATTATAATTATAATTATATCAAATATAATTATATTGTGTGCATATATCTATAAATGCTAATATTATATATTAATAGTTATTTCCTATTACACATGTTATTATATACATGTTTTAAAACAAAGAGTTTAATAGTAATTAACTAATACTAAAAATTTATTATTAAAACAGTTAAAAAACGTTAAATATTATTATAGATAAATATTACTATATTACTATAGATGTAAATAAACCATGCATTTGTAGGATTTAGATTTCGATTTTGAACGAAAAAAACCTCAATTGGTAAATTCGCCTTTTTCACTTTCTGATTGAAAAAATTCAGCTAATTGGAATAAAAAAAAACTTTGTTCTTCGGTTTATTGAGTTAAACAGGTACACTTACAGTTAAATTCGAAGTTGTTTGATTCATTCTAGCTAGTCCGCATTATTTTTTCTATGAGCTGGTTTCTAGATTCGGAGGTCGCATTCCCATTAAAATAAACACAAAACGACAATAAACATATCCTAATCAATTGCATCGCATCCGTAAGTGAATTTGATGAACAGTAAAAAAATGACAACTCGAAAGTTCTGGAGTATCGTGATGTGTATTAATATAAAAGCAGTACAAGCGAAATGAAAACTACTGAAGATGCAGAAATAAAGAATTATTAATTTATTCGAAAAATCCATAAGCTGACAATAGAAGATTAATATAAGATATTTTATTAATAAAAATAATTTTGTTCATATGTTTAATTTTATATATAAGCATAAAAAATGATATGAGCAGTATATACAATATTAAATGCCGCGCTACGAATTATATTTATAATATGCCATATTTGACACATGACATCGAATACGTTGTATGTTATCTTAATTCCATATTTTAAATCATTGAATTAAATTCATATTTGCTGTTCTACTTTACTATTAATGTTTCATCTTGCGCAGAGTAATAAATATCAATTTTTCTCAACACTTTGTTCTTGTCTATATTATCAAAAATTTTCTTAATTTTTGCGAAAACTGAAGAATGAATACTAACAATATTTTGTTATTTATTATGTTTGTAATGCAATTAATTTTTATTTTTATATATTACTCCCCAACAAATCTTATTGCATGTATTGCAACGTGATTTTTCCAACCAACTCAGGCAGTGTATTTATTCTTATTGTTAGTAAAAAATAATATAGATACGCTATCTTTTACCTATTTATTAATGTTAATAACTTTGACTTATTTGCATTTTTAACGCTTTACATTTGGAAAAAAATATATAATAAATAGACAAAAAGAATATGTATATACCAAGTTGCGTAGTAACTTATTACTGCTCTCTATAAAATTTAAAAACCTATAATTACATACAAAAATTGTAGACCAATATTATTATAATAGTATTACAATGTACAGTGAAAATTTCAACATCGATAATAAAATAGTATATTATTTATAATTTTATATAAACATTATAAATACGTAAATTAGATTTATATTGAGAAATATTGTTACTAAAATCGAAAATATGTTGACAAGTAATTTACAGAAAAAATATCTGTATATACAATATTTATCATATTGCAACCAAACTTTCGATCCATCGCAAGAATAAATTATTCGGAACGATTGTTTAAAAATACATGTATTATTATAATCCGCAACGTTACTAATATATTGTAAATAATAATAAAACATTATCAATTTATATTTCGCTAAATTAATGATTACAGCTGCCTTCAATCGTAGTTCTGTATTATTTTTATTATATTAACGTAACATATACATTCATATTATTCATAATATAGAGGTAACATTATGTGAATTCTCCCCTCTGAGGATCTGGAAAATTCTTTCGTACACGAGTTTTGCCACATCTTTGGCCCATATGAAGTCCGCGTGATTAAATTTGGGCCACGGCACTTCGTACATATCTATTACGTTGGGTAGTAAATCGTACAACCTCTTCACATCCTTAAAAAACATTTATGAATTATTTTGTGCCATCTTGTTTGAACAATTTTTTTGTACCTATATATATAAATCAAGCTTCCTACATGAAAGCAAAAAAAATATATATATACACAGCTTTATCTTATCAATTTAAATTAAAATTAAATAAATTAAATAAATTTTAAAAATGGATAAGTAAATTTAGAAATCAACCTATTAGTTTTTTTAATGTAAAAATCATTTTATTTTTTATTTTTTTTTTACATATGTATATTGATTTTTCGCAATATTCGGCGAAAGTTATAAGGGTAAGTTATAACATAGAATGTTAAAAAAAATGTACGTGATATTTTATATTTTAATTTGACAATATATTATATTTTAATATCAATTATATTTTAATACCAATTATATTTTTATACACATACACTATATATTAAATAAAATATTCAGTGTTTGATAATTTAATTCAAGATTTTTATTCATAATATAATAGAAAGAATCAATTGATGTAAAAAAATACCTAGTTCTTTTAAAAAAAGTATGTAATTTGCAACCAGTACATGACCTTGAAAAACGTCACTCAAGGACAATTGTAGATCACGATATTGTTTTTCTCAAAAATCTTTCAATTTTTATATAGAACATTTTTCTCGAAAATATTTTATTTCCAAGAAAATCGACTGTATTACTTAGAATAAAACATCTTGTGTGTATATATATATATTTTTTTTTTTTTCAATATTTAAATTACCTATTTTTTGTTACTTACAACAGGGTCGGCCACCAAGTCATTGCTGGCGTACAACAAAGCGATTGGTACCGTGATTTTCGTTAGATCGTAATCCGGAGGTTCCACCGAGTTGTACATCAGCAAATTTTTCGCGCTACCGTAGTCAAATTTGCGAAACTTTCCTGATTGATGTACTTGAGCGTAGTGAACGAATGCTTTAATCGAGGTACCAGCTGGGTCGTGACCCAATATATTAGGTACCAGAGTCTAAACAATAAGGACGTGGAAATAAAGTCTGATGTGAAGCGTACTTGCGCGTGAAGATGAAATATTATCGCTTCGATTGTGATAGAATCAGTGTTTGCTATTATCCAAATATAATTATATAGACGATTATCTAGATAAAATTATGGAGTCATTTTATTTTTATAAAAATAATAAAAATATTTATTATCTACAATAAATATTATCTAAAAAAATTGTTATGTTTATCAAATTATGTAGAATAATGTTTAGATCATTTGGTTTAGCGTATAAAAACACTTAAATATTTTTATTAAGTAGCAGAATTTGAACAGTAAGCGATAAAAACTTATAAATATAAATGTTTTTATATCCCATTTATAATTTACATTTTTTATAATTTAAATGATAAAAAATTGTTATCTTTATCAAATAATCTAGAATAATGTTTACGTTATTTGGTTTAGAGTCATTAACGTATAAAAACACTTAAGTATTTTTATTAAGTAGCAGAACTTGAATATTAAGCGATAAAAACTTACAAATAAAAATTTATTTTTATATTTCTTTTATAATTTACATTTTTATTGTGTTTATATAAGCGGTCTTAAAAACAATATTATTTGGAATTTATCTAAATTAATCGCCATATAATTTTATCTTTTATCTAGATATATTTAAAATAAAATTATTTTCATCTTATCTTAGATAAATATACATATTTCCATCTTATCTTTATTGGCTAATTTCAAAATTATCTAAGCACACACACATAACACTGAATAGAATTTGTATTTTATTTGTTGAGTTATATTACTTACGTAATCAAGTTGTTCATAATCGAAACCGCATATCAAAAATATCAGGTGTACGAACAATTCATGTAGAAAAGTCGGGTCGAAAAATTGCACATAATTTTTATAAATATCACTGTTCACATTAAATTCGCCGTGCAAGAAATTATTCAACAGTTTCTGTAATTGAAGATCTATTATCGTTATCGTGATATAATTAATTACAAAAAATCTTTAATATCTCTTTAATATTTTCAAATAGCAATAATTTTGAGAATAAATTAATTAAATTTTTAAGCATCTTTTAATCATTTAATAAAGTGATAAAAATTATGGAAGGTTTGATCTTAATTGTAACTTGTCGAAGAACATCTCTAAAATTATAATGAAAGATTTAATTATATGGCAAAAAATATATAGATGTAAGACAAGAAAAGAATATTAATTTTCTAATCTTCAGAATTAATTCTTTCAAAAATTATTCGAAAAATACGTTTTTTTTCTCACTTTTCATATTTATATTTTATTTATATGAAATAAATCTTTTCTTATTTAATTACAAAATATGTTCCATTCTATATAAATCAAATAAAGATTGGAAAATAAATGCGTTCTTTGTAATCCCATTATTATTATAATTGCATTTTGGCAAAATAATAATTTTTAATTTATAATTGCGCGTGATGATTTCCATCATTCGAACGTTAATATTTAAAATATCGCAATAAACACTAATTATAATATAAATTCTAATTTCTAATATATAAATTCTGAAATTAGTTAAATTAAAAAATACAATTTTTTTATTTTAATCATTTATTTCAATCTTGTAAATCAAGAATTATTGATGTTCAGCTATATTCACACTATAAATTTTTATTTCATCATTTACTGTTTTACAATAATATTCTTGAAAATGATGTGTTTATTATACATAGTATAAATACGAGACATTTTTTTTATTTTAACGAAAACATTATTTTTAACTATTATTTCGCTAAAATAAATTATTGTCTAACAGAATTTGCATATAAAAAAGTATATTACTTTACCTGATTCGTCTTCACGAAGGGAGTCATGTATCGAAACAAACCTTTCATATTGTCTATAAAGGCTGTTGGTCCGAGACTGATCATGTTTTGTACCATTCCAGCGATTTCTGGACGCTCTGATGCCATTACATAAAAAGTGGTTGTGCCCAACGAATGACCAATGCACGAATGCAATTGTTGCGATCTCATATTTGTAATAAATTTAATCATCGCAGGTAAGTCGTAGACACCCATTTCGTGAAAGCTGATAAAATATTTGTTATATAGTCATAAATATGTATATTACCATATAGAGTATATATACACACATATGTATAAATAGATGTGCAAAAAAATATATAAGTTTCATTATCAGAAAATAAGCATCTTTTCTCTTTGCCAAATTCCTGAAAACATGTTATTTTTCCGAGATCTATTTTTTTTATATGCAAATATAATGCGTTTGATATTTCTTGATTCTTCATTTAAATAACTTTGTGTAGAAATTGTATATAATTCTGATAATGAATGGAATAATTATACTTAATTATATAATAAAATTACTAAAATTTTTTTACAAAGAATTATTTACACGAAGAACTAAGAAAGAACAAATTATATATCTATATGTTAAATTTAATATTGACATAAAAAAATGAGATATCGAGAAAACAATGCATTTCCGAATATTTTGGTAAAAAATTGATATTTTATTGACAAGAATTATAGAAGAGAGAGAGAGAGAGAGAGAGAGAGAGAGAGAGAGAGTAATTATACTTGTAAGTTGAAAAATTTTCTACTCGTATAAAACACTATTTATATTATACATATAAAGAATATCTTAAGATATATATATGTATTAATGCAATTTAAAATAATGCTGCACATAGATATAATAAATATACAAAATAAATCCATCTAGTTCTTGCATTTTAACATGTTAAATTAAATAAAAAATTTAATAATTAGTTTATAATTGTTACCGACGAGGCGTCTTTTAAGATACAAGGTTTTCTTTATATATATTGTTTAATATGTTATAAGGGTGTCTCACTACTTTATCTATAATGTCATCTTAAAGAGAATTTTTATTTGAAAAAGACCTAAACCAGAGATCGAAACGTAATGAGATATTTAATTTAATAAAGAATTTATTGCCCACTATTGGTCGTTTTTTAATGTTAAATACATACTTTATCGTTTTTTATTTCTTACTGGCGAATTGATTACACACACTTAATCAATTAAGACATATGTATATCTAATCAATTTTTAATAATTAAGTGAGAAAAACTTATTACATTCAAAACGACCAATACTGAAGATTCTTTATTAATTTAACTAATGAGTTCTCTCATTTTTTTTCTTACGACTGTGACACAGTTTAAAAATCAATTAACATATACAATTAATTTTAATAATTAAGATTATATATCATTTTCAAAGTTATTATTTTGATTTTATGCGTATACCTGAAATCCCAATATTCCAAGCTCGACGGAGATAAGGAAGTATGTTTTTTTGAATAGATGTTGCCACGAAAATTAGCGAACCAAACATCATATCCCTGATCCGCTAATAGATAAGCTAGGATTAAAAAAATTAAAAAATTTAATAATTAGAAAATTTATTATTTTGAATGTTTCTCTACAATAGAAACAGAATACTCTCAAGACATATCTGCACATTTAAAAAAATCAGTGTTAAATTTAACAGATATTACATGTCCCAAACGGTTCACAGAAATTTTTGTGTTAATTTAATATAATATGGATATGTTAAATGCAGACACAAATATTGTTTTAATACTTTAACACAAAATTAATGCAAAACTTTAAGTAATTTAAAATAAATTTTGTGTGAAATTAACATAACTTGAATCTAAAAATTAACTAAAAATATGTTAATTTTAGTTAGTCATTATTTAGATTTTATCATTCCCTTATATTATAAAATAAAAAATCAACATTTTTTCGGTAAATTTTAACAGATAAATCTTGTCACTAATAAAACAGAATATATTTATTATGTAAAATCAAAAATAGATGCACATTATGTTATTTTTACATCTGTTTTTAGTTGTCTTAATAATTCAACACTTAAGTTCAATTAACACAATAGTAATATATTAAACACATGAGTGTGTTATAGTATATTGTGTATCAAGTGCGGAAAGTTGACAATTGGTCACAAATGCGGGGGATGGACGCACGAGCCGAAGGCGAGTGCGACCACCCCACACAAGTGAACAATTATCAATCCGCACGTGATACACATACTATTTTGTATTACAAGTGCAGACAAAGTGGCTTTTTCTGCGCGTTTTCTGTGCGCGAGGCGGCCGATCGCACGCCGCCATCTTGCCGCGGCACGGTGGGGGAATAGCCGTGTTCAATACATTGCCTACGGCTTCAGCCGTATACAATGACTTTTAACGCGGCTGGGCCGTAGATAATGGCTTTGAACGCGGCTTATTCACTCACCGCGTCGCCGCTAGATGGCGGCGGGGGAAATCGGCCACTTCCCGCACAGAAAACACGCACCGAAAGTGCCACATTGCCTGCACGTGTAATACAAAATATTTAACACACAAAAATTTTAACGAGAACCCTTTTTAACAAGAAAACACAAATTTTCCAACTGTGTAATTTAGAAAAAAGATTGATTAAATTCGTATACCGAGTGCTCTGCCTTTGCCAAGAATGAGCCAATCGACGGAGCTAAGTGAAAGAGCGTGTATCAGTAAAACCGGTAGAGAATCATTGTCACCTGGGATACGATGTAACGTCAAATAAAAACCGTCCTCCGTCATAACAACGTGAGATTCCACGGGATAACCCGCCCTTTTTATCGTGTCTGGCTAGAAGAAAAATAAGTAAAAAAAAAGAGAAGAAATTGATCAACTTTAATCAAAAATTTAATTTGCATTTGTATTTGTACTTTGGTGTTATAAGGATTAAAGTATCAACTAATATTGCAACACACTTTAATGAGATTTTGACAATAAAATAATGATTCTGACAATGATTTTAATAATTATTCTAATAATGAAATTGAGATCGTTGTGTAAATTTTTCTAGATCTTTTTTTGTTTGCAAATGATTTATAGATAATAATTGCGAATGTATAATTAATTTTGTTTCATACTTCCTGGCAATTATACGTTGCAAATTATACTTCTCATGTTTATTAATGTAAATTTTCTACTCATGGAAATACATAAATATTCTACTTCAAAAAAAAAAAAAAATAAGTTAATCGAGTTTGTTATCGTCAAGTTAATGTATTGTAGATATATAAAAAAGTACTACAAAATCGAACAATATTAAAAAAATTAATTTTATTATATATTATAATTTTATTATATACAGGGTGTCCCAGATTTACCGTATCACACGTTAATGGGAGATTCCTAAGGCGATTTGGAGACGATTTTTTCTCAGCGAAAATGTCAAGGAAGATCATCATTGTTTTAAGGTTCCCAATTTTGAAAATCATGCATCTTTGTAACTAAGCTTTAAATTAAAATTCTATTAAAGTAAAACGAAGTAAAACGAAAAAAAAATAAAACAAAAAAAGTAAACCAAAAAATGTATTTTGTTAATAATTTATTTTTACAAGGCTTAGTTTACAAAACAGCTGTTATTTTCAATTGTTTATAACTCGAAAATTATTGGTGCCTGGACATTTTCGCTGAGGAAAAATCGTCTCCAAATCACCTCAGGAATCTTTCATTAACGTGTGATACGGTAGGTCTGGAACACCCTGTATATTAAAAATTATAAAGTACGCGCTTATGTTGTCTAATATCGCAAGGATTAACAATTTGATAGTTGATAAAAATAAAATTAAATAAAATTACATAAAATCATTATGTAAAATCGTATAATGACGCGCGCGAAGAGCACTCTAGTTATCTAGATTAATAAAAAAAGGGAGTAATAATTAAGATCATTTTTGATCATTTTCTGATGGTATTGAAAAAAATGTGACTAATCGAAATAATGCAAATTTTAATTCTTATTTTTCTGTGTCAACACTTACCGTACTGAGAAAAATTTCGGGACTGAATTTGGTGTTGTTCGATTGCTTCCAGGTAGTCCATTTGACTTCCTCCATGAATACATTTCGTTGAGGAATCGTATCCGACGGAGCCGCATCAAAACAACCGTAAAACGATAACATAAACGCGATTCCAATCAATTTCATCGCATCACTGACTAATTCAATTAACAATAAAGAAAGAAGAAGCAAACAACAGGAGTGTTTTCCAAATGTAGAAATATATATTATTGAATAAAAATTAAAACACGCGAAAGCAAGAAAAATACGACTCCAAGTAAACGTTTGTTCTTTGCACGGTACGTACTGAGAATGAATCATTTTGTCAACGATTTTTATTAGTTGAGAGAAGAAAGGGAAAGAGATAAAAAACACCCTCGAGGTAGTAATTATACAATTAGCATTAAAAAATACACATATATACTTATCTGTAGAAAATATATTGCCGGAAGTAAAAAGTACAGCAAGTGAAATAAAAATATATAATACTAATACATGTATGTTGCACAATAGTTCAATAAAAATCTTAATTATTGTATTAAAATTGATCTATTTTGTCACAAGTTTTTCATCTCATGCAAATAGATAAATTTTGTTTTTTCAGCATCTCGTTTCTTATTTATTTTATCGCAAGTTTAAAAATTTCAAAAACTGAAAAATAAATGTTAATATCTAACGATATTTTGTAATTGTATTTGTGATACAAACTGTTTTCATCGATATATGATTCTAAGAAAATTTGTTTGAATTATAACGTAATTTTTATATTATATCTAATTTAAATCTCGTGAATTTATCTTTAATAGCTAAAAAATAATTTGCTTGTCAATTATTTATAAATATTTTTAATTAATTGCATTTTTTAATGAAATTTTTAAATTGGGAAAACTGTACCTTTATTTCTATAAAATTTTATCTTATATCTTTTATGTATGAGAGTTAATCAAAATTTATGGACCAATATTATTACAATATTATTACATTGTACAATGAATATTTTAGTAGTGATAAAGAAAAAAGATACATTTATAGTTTGATAGAAAAATTACAGACCCGTAAATAAGATTTATATTGAGAAATAATGTTATTAAAATTTAATATAATCAAAAGTAATTTATTCAGAACATTTCTGCGTATTTGTTATAATATATTGCAGTCAAACTTTTGATTCATCGCAACAATACATTATTCGGTGGGATAATCGTTTAAAAACGTATGCACTATTCTAATTCGCGTTATTAATAATAATAAATAATAAAAAATTATAAATATATATTTCATTAAATTATTGATTGCAGTTTCTCTCAATCTGTCGCTCTTATTACAGGTTTAAGAGATGGAATATTTATTTTTTTATTTATTATTTTCTATAGACGTAACATTATTTGGATTCTTCCCTTTGATGATCGTGAAAACTCTTTCGTACACTAGTTTTGGCGCATCCTTGGCCCATATAAAGTCCACATGATTAAAATTGAGCAACGGTATTTCATATAAATCCATTACGTTGGGCAATAAATTGTACAACCTCTTCACATCCTTAAAAACATTTATGAATTATTTTCAGGAATTATTTTGTGCGATCTTGTTTAAACTACTTCCGTTTTCTATGAAGCTTGATTTATATACAGTTTTATCGCAAATCAATCTCTACTGTGCATATATATATATATATATATATATATATATACAGAGTATTTTATTTACAGTCAATTAAATTGCAAATAAGATAGGTCGTTTAAAGATCAACCTAATTTTGTTTAAATGGAATCATTTACTTTTTCTTCTATAAATTAATTCCTCGCAATAATATGAACATAAAAAGTTATAAGAATAGGATGATCAATAATATGCATATATTTATACATGACGAAAGAGTCAGATATCATTATATGTAACTATATATAATTATATATAAATATGTATAATATCTTATATTATTTTGAAAATTATACATATTTCTGCATATTTATGTACATAGTTCTGTATAATTGTATCTAATTCTGCATAAATATATATGACAATTTTTCCCGAAGTAAATAATTTATTAGATAATTTATACTATAATTGACGATTACATTTTAATGACATGCATATTTTAATCTCACATAAAATGCAATATAAAATATATAGTGTTAATATAAAATATATAGTCAATAATTTACTTAAGACTTTTATGCATAGTAAAGAGAGGAATCAATTCATGTAAAGAAAATACATGGTTCTTAGAAAAAAGAATATAATGTGTAACTAGATACTACATGACTCTGAAAAAAACCATTCAAGGATAGTTCTAGATCATTATAGAATATTATGGCTGAAAACATTCTGTATAATATTTCTATTATTTAAATATCTATTTTTTGTTACTTACAGCGAGGTCGCACAAAAAGTCATTTTTGCCGTAGAACAAAGCGATCGGTACTGTGATTTTCGTTAGATCGTAATCCGGAGCTTCCACGGAGTTGTACATCAACAGATTTTTCTCGCTACCGTAGTCGTACTCGCGAAATTTTCCTGACTGAATTGCTTGAACGTAGTGAAGAAATGTCTTCGCCGAGGATCCAGCTGGGTCGTGGTTTGTAATGAGAGGTATCAGAGTCTAACAAGTATAAACAATAACAAGAATAAAATCGAAATCCGACCCGCAAGGTGAACTATTATTGCGATCGATACGTCAATTGGAATTCTAAATCAAAAGCGGAATTATACTACTCACGTAATTGAACTGTTCGGAGTCGTAACCAAACGACATAAACATCAGGTTGACGCAAAATTCCTGCATGAAAAAATTTCGGGTGCAAAAATCCCGAAAAAGTTTAGTCCAACTTCTCTGCAGAAATTCGCCGTTAAATAAAGTGTTCATCATCATCTATAATCGATGACCTATCGCATTATATCGTGATATAATTGACTTGCTATTTTTTTTTTCTTTATGTTTTAGTAAGTTTCAGAAAATAAATAAATAAATTTCTAAGCACTTTTTAATAATTTAATAAATTGGTGTAATATACATATATATATATATATATATATATATATATATATAAAAATTAATTAATGAAAGGCTCGTATAATTTAACAAAATTAAACTAATCATATATAGTAGGCCAACTGAACGAGCAAATAAATAAGGTGTAAAAATTTTTATTAATAGTTAAATAATTAAATTAACATTCCGTTACAGAATCGATATAAATTGTAAACGTTTCGACTGCACTACAGTCTTTATCAATACATAAAAGTTAAATATTAAAATACAAAGTTAAATGTTAAAAATACAAAGTTATAATAGTTAAATATTAAAATATAAAATTGAAACGATTTTTCGCTGTTGACCAATAGATATGCAAGGCGATTGGTCTGAGATGCCAAGTTATGCGACATTTGAGCATGCTACGGATATAATACGCGAATTAAATCAATGTCAGAGAAAATTAAAAAATCTTTCAACTTACATTATCGTTTTAACAAGTCCTTTTCCCGATATTTCAAGTGTGTGTTGCGAAGTCTGAATACCAAATGTCAAAATAGAGAGCGTGATGTATTTATTTATTACCAATGTTTTTTCTAAATTATGATTCAGCAAATTTTTTAAGTATGTCAAAATAACTACTGTCTAACAATTCGGTGTCTGTATTTAATTGTTTTTAACTATGGTATACGTAGAATCGTCTTCTAGGAGACTTTCAACTTTTTTTATATAAAATTCTTTTTCTAATGCGATTGTAATGCTGCCTTTATCTGCTCTAGTAAATAAAATATTAGGGTTTTGATTGCAGAATTTAATTGTGTCTTTATGCATGTGAAGTAATTTTTCTTGTATGTCCGTTTTTTTGTCATTCTTGTTTAAAAATAATGATTCGATTACTATATTGAGTTGTTGGTCTACTGGGATTCGATTGTGTAATCATCAATCATAAAACTAAGTGAAAATTATAAAAATAAATGTACTATACATTAATATATGCTAAAGACGTATACATATACATATATATGTATATGTCTTTAGCATATATTAATTAATGTATATGGAGCATTTTAAAGTGTTTAATTGATCAATTAAAATATAAATGAATAAAAATTTCTTTATCCTGATACATGTTTTAAAGCATTTGCAATGTTTCCTTGATCGCAATCAGAGTTTCGAGATAGATGTTTAAAGTGCATTATTTTCATTATGAATTTTTTTATAAAAAAGGTTCAAATATAATTTCATGATTCTTTAATTTTGACTGATTTTGACTTCATCATTTCACTCTCCAAAGATAGGATGCGACTTCTGTGTGTGATATATTCTGTATATACACATTTCGTTACTAATCATTTTTAAGGACGTTTCGTAGTCAAAGGGCTACAATACAAAAACAGCGCTAAGTATTTTTTACATTACATACTAAGTAATTTACATTTTTTTTACTTTTATTTTTTAATTTAAATTAAAAATTTTTATTTAACTTTAAATTTTTTTAATTTTTTAAATTTAATTCTTTGTGCCTTATATTAGCGATAGAGAGCGGGAGAGAGCGAGAGAGTGCGGAAGAAAGCGAGAGAAAGCGAGAAAGAGCGAAAAAAAACCGAGAGAGAGCGAGAGAAGACGAGAGAGAGCGAGAGAACGCGAGAGAGAGAGAGCGGGAGAGAGCTAGAGAACGCGAGAGAGAGCGGGAGAGCGAGAGAACGCGAGAGAGAGCGAGAGAGAGCGATAGATAACGGAAGAGAGCAGGAGAGAGCGGAAGAGAGCGAGAGAGAACGAGAGAGGGCGAGAGAGAGCGAAAGAAGACGTGGGAAAGCAAGAGAAAAAGGGAGAAAGAGAGGGGGAGAGAAAGGGAGGGAGAGAGAGAGAGAGAGAGTGAGAGAGAGCGAGAATTTATTTTTCGTTTGGTTGCTTAAAAGGTTAAGCAGCTGAGGAAAATGTCACTATACTAGGATGGGTGGCCGCGGATAAGGTAAAGCAGCTGCGGACAAAATCACTTTGTCGGGATGGGTGACCGGGACAAGTACGACGCCGTACTCGGACAAAAAAGTGACACCTTTTCGACCAAAAAATAACTTAAAAAATTCATATCTCCGCAACCAATAGTGCTATCAAGTTCGTTAAGGTCTCATTTTACTCGGAAAAAAATCGCGCTTTCGATTGATATGGTCATCTTTTGACAAATATGTTCCCGTTCATGAAATATTTCAAATTTTTGTTTTCAAGGTTACGAAAATCGTGTTACGTCCAGTAAAGGATACACAGTAGCGTCCTACGGATAATTTTCGCTATTGTTTCGATATTTTCGCTATCTTTTCGATATCTTTCGATATTTTTTTTTGTTTTTTGTAAATTGTATTTTAATTTAACGAATGAAAGAAATAACTTAGCAAGACGCTACCGCGTCTCCTGATAAGAAACACGACAAAATGATCGCGCACGTATGTGTGTAAGTATTTTCGAAGCATCACGAGTATTGTCGTCGTGACGTCGTTCTTTTCATCCCAATACGCGACTGCTTTTAATTCTCGATCGATGGCGATGAAAACGACGATAATCGCGTCATGTTCGCGGAGATGTCAGGCAGAAATGCACTTTTGGTCGCTTATATTCTACCTATACAACGTCGATATAATCTCGCATCGTGTTCGTTAATTCAGCAAAATATAATTAATCGGCTTTTGTTGTCACGCGCGCGCAGTATCGAGAGAACGGAGAAGCGTTATATGCAAACTTGCTGTTGTGTCTTGCTATTGTATCCCCGAGGTATGCCCAAGGAATATTATTGCGGTGTGCACGATGCGGACTACTCAATGAGAAATGATGATTGAATCGACGTCGATTCGTTGTCGAATTGATGTCAAATTTGTCGAATTGATGACAATTCGACCAATCATTTCTCACTGGGTATATAAATGCAAATTTACTGGCGGAATTGCGGAAACAAATAAAAATGGCGATCTGTCCTCGCTGAAGCGGTTATACATAAGTCTGCGGAGATGTTTTTCCGAGCAAGAAGACATAAATAAATTCAATGTGCAATTGACTGTGGAATACGGAATTTTTTAAATCGGAAACTGTTGTATTTGGTAACCGATCGAGCGACATTTTATTTGTTTAAGTGCGCATTTTTCGCTGGAGAACTCTTTGTATTAGAGGGCTTGGTGTGCTTTCTAGTAACAAAACAGTGTTACACATTTTAGGCTTTTTTTTGTTTAAGTTATTTAACATCTACAGTATTTACTATTATCTAAATAAAATTATAAAGATTATTATCTAGATAAAATTTTGTTATTTTACCTTTCGATAATAAATATATATATTATCTATACCTGCATCTTAGATGAAAAAATTAAGTGTTATCATTACTAAATTACTTAAAATAATGTTCATATAATTTGATTGAGAGTCATAGCCAGTGTTTGCTGATATTTAAATAAAATTATATAAATGATCTGGATGAAATTTTGACGTCATTTTATCTTTATATAGATAATAAAAATATGTTTATTCTACAGCTGCATCTTATATAAAAAAAGTGTTATCTTCATTAAATTATCTAGAATATATATTGTTCAGATAATTTTAGGTTTAAAGTCATTTCACATACAGATAACTATTGTCTTAGCGAAGACGTTATGTACGTTTGTTTTCAAGCTCAATATGTGAATTCCGAGATACATGTTATTATATTTTGACCTTACCGGGTAACGAATCCGTAAGTACGCGAAAATCAACCAGTCCAGAACTGGCCGGCAATGTGACAAGACACTCGAGAGCATAGCGAGCGCGAGATAATTTGTAACGAGTCACTTGATAAGTCTTATATTGTTTTTAATAAAGAGACTTCTCTTAACATCCCCTGTAAAGAAATAGGCGAGAAAAATATTGGTCCGAAAGTCGGCTGAATCGGGAATCGAACCCGAGACCTTCCGCTTGCCGGGCGACTGCTCTTTCAACTGAGCTATTCAGACACTTACAAATCAATATTTCTCTCAATTTTTATACCCTCCCCCCCGCCCCCCACCAAAGCGTCGTAATTAGGTCTTTACAGGGGATGTTAAGAGAAGGAACAAGGGGAATTTTTGAGATCCCAACCATAGGATTCAAATTCCTTAGTTTCCAAATTTTCTTTCTTTTTTAATTGTCGCAATAACATCGCGTTTGGCTCTATTGGTCGAGAGAAATGAAGTGTAGATTGTGGTTTTAAAATTAAAAAGAGCTGACTTAAAAAGTATTCTTATTATAAAATATATGTATATATATATATATATATATATATATATATATATATATTTGACAGGCATATATATATATATATTTGACAGACATATATATATATAATATATATATATATATATATATATATGCCTGTCCAGTAATCAATTTAGAAATTTAATTTAAAAAAAAAATTCGAAAAATATAATGTACACTAAAATATATTGTAATTAAGAGTGCATTAAAAGTTGTTTCAACATTTGAATTCAAGATAATCTTTTAAACATTTTTCCGATAAAAATAAAATCTGCGATGGTTTGATCGACGATACTGAAATATATCTTAATTAATTATAAAGTCTTACCGCGTGCTTTCTCTTTGCCAAGAGTGACCCAAACAACACAAGTGCAAAAAATATTATTTATCAGTAATACAGATAGAGAGCCGTTGCCACCCGGAATACGATGTAACGTCAAAAGATAGCCATCTTCTGTCGTTACAATGTGAGTTTCCGTGGGATAACCCGCTTTTCTTATTATCTGCAGCTGAAGAATTAAGTAAAATCAGTAAAATAAATATATATTTATTTTTACATAATAATTGTGTTTCTATACATTAATAATAACATAAATATAAAATATTACATATATAATATGTAATTAATATAAAGTATAATTATATAATAACAACAGTAATAAATATTTATAAAATCCAACATAAATTTGAATAAATATTAATAATATCTAATAAAGTATAT